AGAGGTTTTTAGCAGGTATAACCAGAAGATTTTTTTTTTTTTAAGTCTACAATTGCCCTGTTTAAAGCTAGTTCCAACTGGCTTTCAGTATGTTTCTACAGCTGATTTGTGAACACTCATTGCTGATCTCATATGCACTCTTTCACATAATATTATTGTGTATTAATGTGTCATCATAGACAGCAGAATATTAGAGTGTATTTTGTGTATACAGCAGCTGGGCAGGTGCTTTCAACCCCCCAGATATACCTAGCATATAATCCCTCTGGAAAGGGCTAGAGTTTAGATGCATCACAGAGAGCATGCCTACACATGCATTAATCCACCATAGTTACTGAGCATTAAGTTTAGTACCTGTCATGGTACTCAGTGCACAGTAACCAGCACTATTGCACAGTAGCACCAGCACGCGCCTTTTTAGTGATGCTAACGTGCAGTAGGCTAATTCTACTGTGCATTAGTGCACTAGGACGGCTTCTGCCATGATATGCTAATGCACAGTAGAATTAGTCTACTGCGCATTTAACGTCTCACATAGACATGCCCTAAAAAGGGTGGGGATAAATCAAACGTAGGTTGTTTCAATCCCCTGTTTGCCTGCTTCTGCTCCTCCAAGCCGTTTTGGTTCTGGCTTGGGGTTTTCCGAGGGATAATGTATGTATGTGTTTCCTTATGCTTATGAAATAGGTTTGTGGCTAATAATAGTATGGATTTCTAATCCATTCTCCCCTTATGTCTATGGCACATGAATGCTGAACATGTAGCCCAAGTTGGGAACTGTTAAAGGTTAAACTTTCCCCCAATACCTCTTTAATCACTAGGTTTCCTCCTGCTCTTTTCTCTCAGGAGAATACCTGGAACCCCTCTCACATTCCTTCAAAGCAGCAGGCAGCCTTTGAACAAATAGGAAATGACAACTACCTTTGGGGCACGGGATGTGGGGGGATGAAAGAGTGGCTAAAAGGCATAGACTTTTTCATGTCTTTTAAAAGGAAGGAAGAGTAAATGTTGTCCTGCCTCCTTCCCCAATCTTGTCCGAGTCTTTCCAACTTGTCACGGCTCTATTTCCAGCTCTGCCTGGTCTAGTCATCACTAAAGAAGGGCCCAAAGCAAAGGAATTGCAAAATAGGCTGAAGAATGCATACGGTTAATTTTTAATATTACTTATAACAGTATCAAGCTTGCAAGTGAGAGAGTATATTTGCTTTCCTAGAGGAAGAGAAGATGTCAGTGTAAGGGACAAAACATCCCCTTCTTTTGGCTAGGCCAGAAGCCCAGCCTTTGGGAATATGGTAGGGGGCTGATGGATTTGCCTTTGGCCTGCTGAAGTGTGCAAGAACATCACAGATTCACAGAGCTCTCACTGTGCAGGCTGTCCTCTTGGCATGTCCTAAATAAGGACTGTGAGATTTCATTGTAACGATATGCAGCTGGAGGAGAGAGAGGCTGTAAAGAAGAAAGTAGGCATTTACACTGGATGCCCTATTATAATTATACGTTATGAGAAAAGGACTAGGGAGAGTAAGAGGCAGGTAGATATGACTTGCAGTGTCACTGGTTCATATATTTGGCCCAGGGCCGGAGAGGAATGCATCCTTAAACTTCTCCCAAAGAAACTGAGCCTGTGCTTACTATTAGTTAGTGGCAGATGTTTGTGCTCCCTTTTGGAGGATACAACTACCTGGGTCAAAATTTGCACCTGTGTAATTTTTTCTAAGAGAATGGCAGTACAGATAACAGGTATGAGTCACAGAAATTGTAAGCACTTCATACGCTCCTGCTGGCATGTAGCCAGTGACACAAGCATGCTGGCTGGCTTCTGTGAGACAACGGTGGGTGCAAAAACACGAGGCAGGAGCCATCTTTTTAAAATGTATCTAAAATAAGTAGACTTAACTATTCTGGCAACTCTGTCCAGCAGATACCTACTGTCATCATCCCCGCTTTTGCAGTGGAGTAACAGCCCAGGACAAGTGCAGTCAATTGTCACCATCACAGCATCCTCGTGTAACCACCAGGGCTCTTGGCTTCCTCTCCAACTGATCAGACCATTGCGCTGGCCCAGCTTTTCCATTTTAATTTGCTTTTAAAAATACCTTCAAAGGGTAGAGAGACATTATCAGAACAAATAGGATGATTTAGTGCAGGTATTTCATATTTGTTTGCTCTACCGTCGCCAGAAGGTCTTTCAGGCTCCTTGTCATTTTGCGCTCTCTGACCTGAGTAACACTGATATTTATTGCTCATTTTCATTTAGCTCTTTGAAGCTCAATCCACTTAATGATCAAAAAACCTCACGCAATTTAGCAGATAACATTGCTGAAACTTGTTGGGAGATTTTAATAAGCCAAATGAACACTGGAGGGGCGTTTGGGCTGGCGGTCGTGTTCCTGGGTGATAAGGATCTAAGTCAGACCCACTCATTTTGGCACCCCAGCTATGTAGAAGTGTTCAAAGTGGACATACTTTTCGGCAGAGGCTGCTATAATGCTCATCTAAAGTGCCTGTCCAACTATCATAGCATCTGACTGGTCCGCAGTCTGTCACATTTATCCTCTCAACTCTCCTGCGAGGTAGAGAAATGCTATTGTTATCCCTCTTTTACAGATGAGGAGCTGATGCAGCTAATGATCAAGCAACTCGTCTGAAACCACAGAGGAAATCTGTAGTGGAACAAGGGATGGGATCTGGATATTCCTCTTTCCCTCGCACCCCAGCGCTGGATCAGCCTTGGTAGCACGTGAAGAGATGACCGTGTTGGCATTTGTTCTCCTGCAAATATTTCCAACTGCAAAAGTATCTACACCAGCCAGATTGTGTAAAGCTTGAATAAAAAATCCTCTTTGTGAAATGGCCAGCTATGGCAAGTTACAAATGCTATTAATATTCTTTTAGTCTCTGTGCTCCACAGTGAGAGGGTAACCCTTCTTTATAAGGAAATGGAGCAACTTGTGAGTAATGGGTAATTTCCTGATATACAAACACTGCAGCCCACCTTTCCCCCTCAGATCTTCAGGCCATGTCTTTTATCATAGGTTTTTCCCCTTGTGGAGAACCACGTTAAGGTTTTTTAGATAATGTAGGGTTCAATCCTAAACCCACATAAAGCAATAGGAAATATTTCCCCCTGGGTACAGATTATGCCACTATTGGAAGAATGTGTAGCAAGATATTGAATGTCTCTCCGATCTCCAGGGTTAGAAATCCTGATGTTTTTCACCTTTGCATCAGTAACTAAAGCGCTACATCAACTAGCACCCCACAAAACTAGAAGATTTTATATGAAACCGCTGCATTTTGTCCAGCTTTATTTATGATGTAAGGCCTTCACAGGAAGAATCAATTCCTTATGTAAAATCATCAATGGCTGCCTAGAAAAAAGGCCACGATTATTTGTTCATATTTGCATCATTTTATATACACTCAGAAAGCCCTGAAAAAGGTTGAGTGAGCATAAAACAAAGTTAAACTATATGGAAACTTTCCAGCCCCCACTCTCCAAGTCAGAACACAGGGTTAAATCTGTTTCTATTTAGACAAAACCCAACCAGTATTTTTATTATCCTGCCTGCAAAGCGTTGGATGTGCATGTGCGGAAAATGCATTGTCTCTTTAAATAAAAGGACTGTGGCTGGATTATTTGCCCCCCCCCCTTTTTTTTAAACCATGAACACAAAGTAACCATTTCTCCATAACACTGAACTTTTTGTGGCCTTCCTAGAAACAATAAAAATATCCAAAAATACACATCTCGTCAGAATAAATATTAACCACCCAGGCCTTTCAATACGAACAAAATAGCCTCTGTTATATCATTTCTTCTGTGATAATGCAAAAACCATCCCATGGGGTTAGAAGATGACTGTTTTCAAGGCTTCAGGGTGTCTTGCAATGCTCAATCTGACCAGGCTGCTCGCCAGGCTGGGTGAGTGGTTGTGTCTAAGAGCACAGAGCCTTAATCGCTTTCAACTTCTCTAATTCTTCACATTCCTTCCTAGCAAAATAACTGGCTGCCTTATAATGGCAGAAACATTTGGAGACTAAAAGAAACAAACAAAAAATAATCAATTTTCAAGGTCCACTTGCAGACGGAGGGAAATGTTTATGAAACATTTATTGTTCAGTTTCGGGAGAAAATCTTGTCATAATAGCAAAAGGGGAAGCATGGAAATTTGGAGAGGATTTCTTTCTTTCTTTTTTTTTTTGCATAAAAATACACCACTCTACAATTCATGTGATTGACTTTTCCAGCGAGGAGGGGAGCTACCCTTTTCCATCTCACCCAGGAAGCGTGGCATTCTTGGCAGTACAGAATCAGTAGCCAGTAATGAGATACCTCACATTAAAAAGGGTCTATCTATACTACAGTCGAAAGAGCCACAGCTACTTATGGAGAAGTACCTAAGTGGGCTTTAAGCTAGTTATCAGTGTAGCCACAGCTCAGTTCAAATGCTTACATAGCCAGGGTAGCTAGTTTAAAGCTACCTCTGCTATGTTGTCACAAGATGCAGGGACACCTGGCTTACAGCACGGCATGTGCTGAAAAGCCACAGCTAAAAAGCTGTTCTGAAAAGCCACAGAGTAAAAGTAAATCATATTGTAGTCTATCCAGCTGTTCTGAAAAGCCACAGAGTAAAAGTGAATCATATTGTAGTCTATCCAGTTCAAAGCTGATGCTATAGTTACTTGAGCCCTGTCGACCCATGGTCATAGCCTCCCAATATCTCCATCTGCTAGCACTGACTTGGGTGGGCTTTGTATTAAGCGCTAAGAAAATATTGGAACTCCAGGCTTTTAGAGCTTGGAGCTGAATTTTCTGGGCCCAAATTTGATGTCTTTCTGTTGGTACCACTGTCTGTGGAGTTCATCAGCGCAGATTGTTATACCCAGCAACTGGAGCAACATGCATATTCAACTAGAATGAGTAAACGTCCCTACGTGCTTGATATGTTTCTAGATATTGAGCAGAGAATGGCAACTATTGCCTTGGACTCTTGTGAATTTAAATAACGCTGCTTTAAAACTTGACAAATTCTTTCTGAACAGAAGTGAACACCCCACCACAGAATAGACTGGTCCTTAAGTAAGTACCTGTACAATAATCCTCTTTGCTACTGGGAGCTGAGATAGAGCAAATACTCTCACATTTTTTTTGCCCAGAGGGTTAAGCAGGTGACAGTGTTATAGAGGTGCCTAAAATGCTCTCAATGAGATTTGGACATATTTGGTTCCAGTGACTACTGTTGGGTGCAAGTGGAGGATTTTTTCCTGTGTGTAGAAACTTTGCTGAGAAGGGGACCTTCAAGAAGAGACCTTCAGGAAGACTCTTGGCAAAGAAGATGCATGAAGAAAAAACAAAGCAGCATTACAGAAAGAAAGAACTCCAAGAAGGCCACCCCCATCTTGCCATGATATTACATACAAGGTAAAGAAACTGGTAAAGATTCAGGCTACAGGCCTGAATCTGCAAGGTCATGCTTGAGCTAGCTGTAGCCTGGTGTCTGAAGATGATGCCATGGTCTGAGTACTACATCCAGCTTGAGATGTGAATAAGAATCCCACCGCACCTCTTGTACTTTGTAATTGGGAGCCCCTGATGGAATCACATTTCCAGGAATAGCATAGAACAGTGATTTCTACTGCTCCTTTGAAGGGCTAAGCACAGACAGTGAAAAAGCCCATAACCTAATTAATTCAGTCTTTGCAGGTTGGTCTAAGCTGCATAGATTGAACGCATACGTAAGTGAACAGACATTCACTTTTGATTCCGGAAATGCAGCCACCTGCCTGCAGTGACCCAGGCCCGAAGCTGGGGACACTAGAGTACACCTCCCTGCTTGGGCCAGGACTAGCCCGCCCACCCCGTTGAGGGTGGGGGTTGTAGGAGAG